CAATTGTTATCTCATTTGATCCTCACAATAACGCTGGGAAACAGGTGCTATCATTATCCTCATTTTACAAATGAGTCAAGTGACTTGTCCAGGATCACAGGACTAGTAAGTGTCTGAGGCTGGATATAACCTTAGGTCTTTCTGACTCCAAGCCAAGCCTGTGCTCTATGGCATCCCTGAGATGTCCCGTGTTGACAGATACTCAGTTATTAAAGGGAAAGTATTTGGCAGTAATGTAGAGAAGTTTCCATTTTTGCCATTCCTATTTTGAATAGAGCAGGCCAATTACCAAGATCCTCATTTCCTCTTTTGGAAAACGTTACCAGGACTTCTAGGTACTTTCTTACTCTCTTGCCAGGGTCAAGTGGGTTATTTATTGTCAGCAACATGTTTTGAGTCTGTACCTTAAGTATCTTGTCCTAGGGCCTACTTTTTTTCAACTTAGTTATCACTTCTTTCCAGCTAGGTTTTAAGATGGTTAGGGCTTTCTTTATACCCCTGATTCAAATTAAACCCACTGATTTAATTTTTTTTTTTTTTAGATTTTAGGCTTCTTCATTGAGTTATTTCTTTTTTTAATTATTAATTAATTTTTAGTTTTAGCATTCACTTCCATAAGATTTTGAGTTCCAAATTTTCTCCCCATCTCTCCCCTCCCCCCACCCCAAGAAGGCCTGCAATTTGATATAGGCTCTACATATACATTCCTTTTGAACCAGTGAGTTATTTCTTAACACATGGTTCTCCCTGCTCTTGGTTTTGATAAAGTCCGGCCAAAGAACTTTGGACTTTGAACTTCTCTAGGGAGCTACAATTGGTTCAGATTCAATTGAGGTTCCTTGAAAGCCTTTGATATTTCCAAGAGAGATATGATGAAAGCCCTGCTCTCCAAGAGTTTACAATCTAATTCAGGGAGTTGAGAGCTGCTAGGAGTATCCTAGGAGAGAAAATGGCCACACTTGATGATGTATGTTACCGGTGGTGAGTCTGCAGCAAGGGTGTAGGTATGGAGGGAGTAGTTATTTAAAAAACAAACAACAGCACGAATTTCTATAGTGCTTACTCTGTGCCTGGAACTGTGCTAAGTGCTTTTCAATTATTATCGAATTTGATCCTCACAATAATCCTGGAAAGTAGGTGCTGTTATTATCCCCATTTAAGAAAACTGAGGAAAACAGAGGTTATGTGACTTGCCCAGTTCACGTAGCTACTAAGTATCTGAGGCTGGATTTGAATTCAAGTCTTTCTGATTCCAGGCCTGGTACTCTATCCACTGTGCCACTTGGCTACCGCCATTATTAGCTTTCCTGGTTCTGTTGACTTCATATATGTAAATTCATTTCTCACTTAATCCAGGGATTGGTTTTCCAGATTGTGGTCTATCTGGGTACATTCTTCAGGGCTGACACCTGCTGCTGCTTCTCTTTTGGCGCTTTCCTATTTTCTGTACGATAAGCTAGGGGAAGAGAGACTCAGATGGGTCAGTTTTACTATTTATTAGCATCTAGTAGAAAGTTTCGTTGGGGAAAAGGTTGAAAGCATTGCCTGAAATGAACTGTGAATCTTTGGTTTATTCTTGGGCTTTCTTTTCTCTTAGTTTTAAATAGAACCAACACACCCCCCCCCAATAAATGAACCAGTGGCTTCTGGTTCATTTCAGCCAATATAAACATTTTCAAATGTTTCCCTGATGAAACTTTCTGCTGGATGCCAATCAACAGTGAAGATGACCTTCATTAGCAGGAATAGTTGAACTAGTGGTATCCAAATATCTGTTGTCCTCAACTCTTGTATTCCTCTGATCCTACTTTTTCAACGATGTCTAAATTAGATTGAGATTACCCTGATAGGGGAATGACCTTCTTCCTTTGGTGAAAATTGGGTCTGTTACAGTTTGTCCAAAGTTGAACTCAGCATCTTGCCCCAATACCCACATTTTCATTTCCCTTTCCTTTTCATCTCTTCCCTTCTCTTCCCAAGTTTGAAGCCTAAACACTATCTGGGGGCAGTGAGGTACAGTGGAAAGAGTTCTAGATTTGGAATTAGACAAACTGGATTTGAGTCCTAGCTGTATCCCTCACTATTTGACTGTCTTAGGCAGATCACTTAACCTTTTCCTGATAACTGCTACTTCCACAAGCATCTAATAATTGCTAGTATTTATATATTGCTTTAGGATACCTGTGGGGCAAAGTGGATAGAGGGCTGGGCCAGGAGTCAGAAGGACTCATCTTCCTGAATTCAAATCTGGCCTTAGACACTTACTAGCTGTATGACCTTGGACAAGTCACTTAACCCTCTCTGCCTCAGTTTCCTCATCTGTAAAATGATCTGGAGAAGGAAATGGCAAACCACTCTAGTATCTTTGCCAAGAAAACCCCAAATAGAGTCATGAAGAATCAGACATGACAGAAAAATGACTGTACTGAATATAGGGCTTTAATATAATGTAGGGCTTTGGTGGTAAAGCATTTAGTATATATTATTTCATTTGATCCTCACAATGTGGAATCTGTGTGACTCAGTGACTTGCCCAGGGTCACACAACTAGTTGATGTTTGAGGACTGACACTCACTGCATTGAGCCACCTAGTGGCTTCTCAGCCATTACCTCCTTTCCACTTTATCTGCCACTATCCTGCTTCTCCCAGGCTTTCATTACTCCTTCCCTGCAATAGTCTCCTAACTTCTCTCCCTTTCTTCAATTCTTCCTTCACACCCTGTCAAGGTGTGTGGCTTACTGTGGATAAAGCCCAAAGACATAACTCCCCTAATCAAAAACCTGGAGTCAGGAGGTGGGAGGTTGAATACTACTCTAACACTCACTAACATGATGGTGAACGAGTATAACATTTAACATCTGACCCTTAGTTTACTTATCTATAAAATGGGGCCAATGAGGCTTACCCCTTCTACCGCCTTATATCATTATGATGAAGACTCTTTTTGAATTGTAAAAGGTTTAAATAAGTGTGAATTGTTATTCTTGGGGTTTTTGTTACTGTTATTATTTTGGAATTGTAAAACATTTGGAATGTTAAAATTCTAGATTACTTTCCTTGCAGGGTCAGGTTATGTTAATGAATGATGAACACAGGAAAGTGAATAGAAGTGATAATTTAAAGGGTATGGGGGGGTCAACACTGAATGCATACATATGTCTCTGTGTGTATTTGAAATATGATATAATATATGTATATGGGTTGGTAGATAGAGTTCTAGGCCAGGAGTCAGGAAGATTTGCGTTCAGATCCCAGCCTCAGACACGTCCTAGTTGTGTGACCCTGGTCAAGTCACTTAACCCTGTTTGCCTCAGTTTCCTCAACTATAAAATGAAATAATTATAGCACTTATTTTTTGTGATTGTTGCAAGAATCAGATGAGATCATATTTGTAAAGCACTTAGCACCGTGCCTGGCACATAGTAAACACTATATAAATGTTAGCTATTATATAATAATTATATTTAATAATAACAATAATATAGAACTCAGGACTTCCTGACCCCAGGCTCAGCACACCATCCATTGTGCCACCCAGCTGCCTCTTACAATAATATATAAGATTAATATATACATTTTTTTCTTCCTTCTTAGAAGGAACTGAGATCCAGTGGCATTTTCTAAAGAGAAAACAGAAACTTAGTGGGCAATCTGAAGGGTAACATGGGCTTTGAAAGATATTGAAACTGGAAGTGTGCTTCTGCTCTCAGAAGAAGTGGATAATAATGCAGGGCAAGGCCCCAAAGGACAGGTGTGCATGGCATGAAGGCCATGTGGCTACTAAAGAAACCAAGTTGAAAGTCCAGCCTTGAATTTCACCTTACCAAAGGACAGAGCCACCCTTAACAATCAGCAAGTGGTAGATGTGTTCCAGTTCATGTAATAGGTCCTAGAAGAAAGGGAAAGGAAAAAGGGGAAAGAAACAGGAGACAGGGCTTGGAAGGTAGCTGCAAGATTAGTGCAGGATGGACTTAGGTCAAGAGGATATAAATAATCTTTGGGAGTCATGTGCTTCCTCCACGCAGGTATCTGGTGCATGCTGGGGAACAGGCCAGAAATACAGCTAGAAGTCAGAGAAGATGATCTTTGATGGAGGATGAGAGAGGGGATAGAAGATAAGGCTAGAAAGTGGGTCCGGGGAAGAATGAAGGGTCTTATTAGATCTAAAAGCAGCACCAATTGTTGCTTAAAAGTTTAGCATTCAGCCCAGACAGGACTGAGACACCTGAAATGGGGTTGGTTGGTTGATTTCTTAGTTTAACTGAAATAAGAGGTCGCATCTTGGTAGGTTAGCATTGACAAAGGGACTCAGTCTCCCTCTAGTGGTCAAGTTGAATAGCACCAGTGCCTGACCAGCTCGAGGCTAGAAGGAGTAAATGTTCTTGTAGAAAAATGAGAAGGCGCAGAAAGAAGGATCATAGATAGACCTGACCAGCTGTGGGCGTTCCTTTCTTCTTGCCGGCCCAATCCCTCATGGCCCCTCATTGCACAAAGACTGCCATTGACATCCCTATTCTAAAAATCAAAATAATACAGTTTTGCCATTAGAAAATATGAAGGCGGGGGCAGCTAGGTAGCATAGTGGATAGAGCACTGGCCCTGGAGTCAGGAGGACCTGAGTTCAAATCTGGCCTCAGACACATAACACTTACTAGCCGTGTGACTCTGAGCAAGTCACTTAACCCCCAATTGCCTCCCCTGCAAAAAAAAAAAATGGGGGCAGCTAGGTGGCGCAGTGGATAGAGCACCAGCCCTCAAGTCAGGAGGACCTGAGTTCAAATCCGTCCTCAGACCAAACACTTGACACTTACTAGCTGTGTGACCCTGGGCAAGTCACTTAACCCCAATTGCCCCAAAATAATAATAATAATAATAATAATAATAATAATAATAATAATAATAATAATAATAAAATAAAAATATATATGAAGGCTTCCTTTCTGGTTTTTCTTTTGAAATCTTCTCAAATTAATATTTTCTACTTTTTTTCCCCCCCAGATCCACTTAAAGACACATTTACTTCCCTGGGTTTTGATGTTCAGTATTCTAGACACCTGAACACAACAGAAATCGGCGAGACTCTTTATCAAGTTTCCTGCCTTTCCAAGCACCAAGATTATGACATCTTTGTGTGTATTCTGATCAGCCGAGGTGACTCTGAGAACATTTTTGGGAAAGACCAGCGTTGCCCAGGATTTCCTCTGCATCAGATAAGGAAGTTTTTCACTGGGGATGCTTGCCCTTTGCTCTTAGGGAAACCAAAACTCTTTTTCATCCAGAACTATGTTGTACCAGAGGACCACAAGGAGCCAAATAGTGTCTTAGAGGTGGATGGCAGGGGTGGCAAAGTGTCTTATAATGGATGGACACCCAGGAACTCTACTATTCATCAGGAAGCCGACATCTTTTGGAGTTTGTGCAAGGTGAATGTTTCTGTACTGGAGAAGTCTCCCAGCTCACCATCCTTCTACCTGTGTTGCCTCTCACAGCTCCTGCATCAACCTAAGGAGAGGTGAGTGTCACTGACATCCCTTAACAGGCCTCCTCATGGGTCATAAGTGTTGTGGCGGGGCTATTCAGGAAGAAAAGGGATTTAGCTTGCTTTCTTTCTCTCTTTCTTTCTTTCTTTTTTTTTAGTATTTTATTTTCCTCCAGTTACATGTAAAAACAATTTTTAACGTTCATTTTTAAAGATTTAGCTTTCTTTATACTCTAACCACAGCAGCAGCTCCTAATTTCTGGCTGAGTTATGTTCCAATAGTTTTCTTTCAAGTTGGTTATTGGCAATTCAGAACACGTTTTACAATAGAAACAATATTATAATAAATGGGTCATAAGATTCCCAAGGCATTTCCCAAAAGCCTATTTAACTCAAAATGTACATGAAAAATGGTAGTAATAGTACAATTTTATTTTCATCTGAATAGTTGTTATGTCTATGGGAAGAGGCTTCTGGATACATTCTTTTTTTTTTTTTTTAGTTCAACTGAAAGGCATTTATTAGGCACCTGCTGTGTGCCTAGAACTGAAAATACAAAGACAAAAATAGAAATAATCTCTGCCCTCAAAGGGCTTACATTCTACTGGGAGGAAACAAAATATATATAGATAAGTAAATACATACTATATATGGAACACTGGGGGGCAAGGTAGAGAAATCAGGGAAGGCTTCTTGTAGGAGGTAGCGCTTGAATTAAGCCTTGAAGAGAACTAGGGAATATGAGGTAGATGAAAGTTCTGTTGAGCACACCTGTCCCACTTCTCTCTTTCTTCTCCTCCCTCCCCCAGCTCTATTGGTATAATCATTGAGTATTAGAATTAGAAAATTAGAAGGGACTATAGAGGTCTTCTTGTCCCAGCTGGCCCAGAATCAGAATTCTCTCTACAACGTTCCTGCCAAATAGTCAAATGCCCTTTCCTCGCACCTCTCTGATAGACACGGCAGACTATGTAGCGGAGATATCTGGTTTGTGACATTCCTTTATTGGTCTATAAATCTCACTCCATGGTACCATATTTAATCCTAGTTTGTTCTTTGAATCTCCCCCAGTGTTTGCATACAGTAGGCACCAAAGATGTGCATAGAATGTGGGCCAAGAGTTCTGACACAACCTGAGGTGAGCCATTACCATTGTCTCTTCCTCAGGCCCACATGGTCCACATTCTATGTATGCTTATGGTGGGAACTTAATGTCTATTGAATGAATGAATACCCAGGAAACAAGGTTCTTAATGGAATGGTAGTAAGTTCTACTCCCCCCATCAGTAAATGTTGTTGCCTTTAAAAATATTATGGGGGCAGCTAGGTAGCATAGTGGATAAAGCTCCGGCCTTGGAGTCAGGAGGACCTGAGTTCAAATCCAGCCTCAGACACGTGACGCTTACTAGCTGTGTGACCTTGGGCAAATCACTTAACCCTGATTGCCTCACCAATAAATAAATAAATAAAAATATTATGAACTTATATATATGTAAGTTCATGTATATCTATATATCTTATATATAACACACACACACCTATCTATATAACTTTATATGTAACATATAATAAAACAAAACAGATAAAATCAGTGGGATGCTCTAGCCACCAATCCATAAATATGACTGCTTAAAATTATATTAAATTGAGTTACTATCAGCTCTATCATTCTATCCCACTACTAGTTTATATATTAAAAGCCATTCATTAGTCTGAAGTTCCTAAGTCAGGAACTGCCTATATTCCTATGCATTTTCATAGTAGGGTTTTGTTTTTTTTTTGCTTAACTTTTTAAAAGCATTTTCACATCTTTTATCTCATCTTCACAATGTGAAGTAGGCAGAGGGTATATATGTTCCTCTTTTATAGATGAGGAAGCTGAGAGCCAGAGGGATGAATCTTTAAAATGGGAATAAGAATATGCAAGTCTCTCATCTCCTGGCCCTGCACTCCTGTGAACCTCACCGCATTGCTGCAGGCTGCCTCAGTCACTTAGCTCTGACTTTAGAATATACCCTTCCTGGCATTCATTTTTGGCTTTTTCCCCTTCTTCAGAAGATGCTCGCTCTTGAATCTCCACATCGATCTCAACAACAGAATCTATGACTGGAACAGCACAGTGGCCCCCGAAGAGCAGTACTCCATCTTATCCGAGCATACTCTGAGGAAGAATATTTTTCTTTCCTACAGATGAAAGGGAAAAAAAAGAGCTCCCATGATCAGTGTTCAGAGATGGGACCTCAGTCATCTGGGTGTAGTTTTCTTTAGTGGCTTGTATGTGTGTATGTTGGTGTGGTTGCTGTGGGATGAGGTCTTGGTCAATGGGGAAGCGCCATATTGAAACTGTGGAAATGGAGTCTTTGAATACTGAGTGGTGTTTTATCATATGGAACCAGAGACTAAAAAACTAAGGAATAAGCATTACAAATATGAAGTATAGCCCCTTTTAATCTTCATTGCTTATCCAGTGTCCTAGGGAATGATGGTACCACATTCTACTGCTAACGAGTGGTGACTTTTCTTTCTTTTTAGGAACTGGAGGTAGTCCAAAGCCATAAAACTGGAATGTCTTAATTGTTTTTGTCTTTTCTATGCAAAGTGCTCGTTAACTAAACTGGTGTGTTTGCAGGATATATCTATGTCTGTATCTTTGTATAAGGGTTGCAAACCACCTGCAGAAGGAATGGAAGAAGGATCTTCTGTTCCAGCAACCTTTTACTGTATCATTAAGCTCAGAAAGGAGTGAATCAATAATTATGCTCTTGTTTCTTCTTATTCACATAAATGTAATCTCAGGATTACATGACCCACTGACTCATCTTGAGGCACTCTTGTGAAACTAAAATAAAAGTCATTCATAATACCTTTTTTAAAACAGTATGGCAGCACAGGTGCATTACATATAACTTGCCAGGCAGGAAGAGTAGTCTTGAATATTTATTTATGCTCTTTTTTAACTTTATGTAATTTTCCACAATTAATCGTATTAAGTACCTATTATATGCCTAGCTCTTCGGAAGCCTAGAGCAAAGTAGACTTTGAAAACATGTAATGGTTCTAAGCAATGGTATTGGTGGGGAGGGGCAGTTGCAAAGTGGTAAGGAGAATGAAATCTCAAACTGAAGTAATTTAGAAACATTAAATCAAGTAGAGGGGGAGAGCTGTAAAGGAGTGGCTCACTTACTCTTAGTGTCTGTAAGTTACCCATCATATAGGATTCAAATAAAGGAAACAGTAGGTGATTGACCATCCCAGATAAGATATATGGGTTGCTTGAGATGAGAGAAAACTCCTCACATTTCATGCATCAGTCTTCAGAGCTGACTGGGTTAGCATAACCTAGACCCTGAGTTAAACATTCAACAAATCTGGTCTCCAAATGACAGTTCTCATATCTCAGCCACCCAGGGCTAGGTTCAAACAATGTAATAGTTTTCCCACCGTGGCAAATTTGGGTTTGTTGTAAAGGGGAAAAAATTCCCTAACAATGATCATTATTCCCAAATGGGAAATGGAAAGGAATGGATTCCCTGTCACTGATAGTCTTCAAGTAATGAGTTGGGTATATCGTGCAGGGTTTCATTTTCATTTGTGAGTTGTACTAACGGCCTCTGAAGTCCCTTTGCCAATTCTGCATTCGGTGTGATTCCTTTTTTGGACTGAACATTGAATTCCAAACTTTGTTCACTTTTTTAGTATGAGGTACATATATGCTAAGTGCCATTGCATTAATGAATCTTAGAGATAGTAAGTGCATCTGTTCGTACTTCTCAGCATGGATTAGGACCAGGGTACACTGACTCCCAGCCAACTTTGTTGCCTCTCTAAGTCATACTGTTGGGGTGTTAGTGGAATTCAGACAAGAAATCTGAACTCAGAGCCTGTTGATCCTGGAACCCTAAACCAGGGATCCCCAACCCCAGCACTTGTTGGAAGGTTCACCCAAGGCCCAGTTTTCTCCAGCTGGTGATGAACTTGCAAGTCTGCTTCTCAGGCCCTACGTGTCAAGGAGAAAAACAATCTGGTGGTAGAGAAAATATTACTTGGGGGACACAGCTGTGCCAACCTTCAAAAAAATGTTATTGTCAGTATTTTTCCATGAGCAGCCTCCCTTAAGGGGAAACTGTCATGGTGGTTTTAAAACCATCAGTCTTAATCTTATAGTAATGGTTTCCATGCATAGATTCTATAAGCTACAACCTTCTTAAGGAGAAACTGTCATGGTGGTCTAGACCACCATGCCTAATCTTATAATGAAGGTACAGAAGCAGTAAGTGAGGAAACTTTGCTACTGAGAGAGTTGACTGTAGAGTCTTTCTTGGGAATCAGTACCACTCCTCTCCTTGCATCCTTTCTTGACCTGTTCTTGCTGTGAGCACAATTTTTTTTTTCAGCCAAAGATAAGGTTTATTAGAACATCCGTCATATTGGGCAGACTCTTAAAAAATCTAAACATTAGTGAGCAGTGGCTAGATTATAAGAATCTAAGCACCTTAATGGACAGAAGATGAGCCTTATATATAGAAAGACTGGGAGAGGTCTAGGAGTTGTGAGCACAATTTTTACAACCTCTGCTCACTCATTACGTGTTCAAGGAACCATTATCAGCTTCCTGGTCTTATGATGACAGGGCCTCCTATAGTACTTGTGAACCAATTTCTAACTTTTATGATTGAATAGAGAATTTTGGAGATGAATGGGAATTTAATGATTTTAGGGTAGACTTACTTTCTACAATGTAAATAAAATATTTTCTTTTCCTAAATTATCTGTCCTTAGACAAGATATTTAACCTCTTTAAGACTCAGTTTCCTTCTCTGTAAAAGGAAGCAGCTGGATTAAATGACTGCTAAAGTCTCTACTAGTTCTCAATCTATGATCTATCATCTTCAAACTTTTTTGGGGGGGGGGGTTAGGCAATGGGGTTAAGTGGTTTGCCCGGGGTCACACAGCTCGTAAGTGTTATGTGTCTGAGGTCAGATTTGAACTCAGGTCCTCCTGAAAGCAGGGCCGTTGCTCTATCCATCTTCAGACTTCTAAAGATGCCTCTAAGTAAGTCATCAAGCATTTATTAAGTACCTGCTATGTGCAGGCATTATACTGACTGCTGAGGATACAAAGAAAGGCAAAAACATGGTCCTTATTCTCAAAGAATTCACATTCTAATGGAGATGATATGCAAAGTAATATCAGAGAGAAAAGCGCTGTGGGTATGTGGGTGGGGAAAGGTTAGGGAATAAGAAGACTGGAAAGATTAAGAAGTGGCCAGATTGTGAAGGGCTTTAAATGCCAAACAGAGCATTTTGCATTTGACCCTGGAGATAAAAGGGAGTCACTGGAATTTATAGAATAGTTGAGTGACATGGTGAGACATGAATGATGTAGGAAAGTTACTTTGTCAGAATAATGAGGGTGGATTAAGAGTGGGGAAGAGATAAGACCTTTCTTTGTTTCTAGGAAATGATGAACCAGAAAGCACTTACCTTTTATCTATATCTATCATGGTTTTATACATTTTATTCCTCTTCCCCATTACTTTTATCATTACTAAATTACTTTTACTAAAATTACTAAATTACTAAATTACTTTTATCATTAATTTACCATTACTTTACTTTTTATAGAATTCTATAGAATTATAGAATTTGTAATTCCAGAATTATAGAATTTTCTGTTCTTGTCTCAGTCCCACCTTATCATTTAATTGCTGTGATAGATCGTTCATCACTTTATTAAAGGTCCATAGACTGAGAAAATATAATCTAGTTCAATTTTCTTGTTTGACAGATGAGGACAGTGAAGTCGGTGTACAATGAAGTGGACACATTTGAATTCTTCAGATGTTTTGTGTAATAAGCATAGTTGCTCAGTTTGGCCACTAGGTGGCACATGTGCTCGCGCTTTAAAAACTTGCGTGTTTTCAAGGCTTTTTACTATTTATGCACCACAGGGAGTTAAAGCAAAGATGTATTAATTTATAGACGTCTTACAGGGTCTTAAGTTTTTATGACAAAAGTTGGCAAAACAACTCTGTCCTTATTCTACTGACTGCCTCTTTGAGTTTGTTCTTTGGCCAGCATCAGCTTGCCCAGGTGGCTTACCCTTAGGTAAATGTTTAAACAACTGGCTCTCTGAAAAAAAGAACCTTTGTAGGACTTACATTATTAACATTTCCTTTGCATCTAAATCAACATAACAATAAATCAGGCTCAGATTTGTCACCTTTGCTGATTGCTGAGTTGTAAATGCTACCATTGACAATTTGACAATCATTTGAGAGCCAGTTTGAGCTGGCTTCCATACACTGCTACCCTTAGGGAAGGTGGAGGACCAAAGAACTTTGGATTTTTTCATTGCTCCCATCTTGTTGTCATCTCTTTCTTATTGCTAATTTTATATTCAAGTTCTCCCTTATGTGAATAACCCACCTTGTACAGTTCATCTTAATATTCATTCTTTACCTATTGTATTACTATTCTCTTCTGTTTCATGGTTTCCCTGATTTTATCTTTGTTTGAATGTTTGTGAGCTTCTTGAGGGCAGGGACTGTCTTTTGCCTTTTTTTTGTATCCCCAGTGATGCGGTCTAGAGATTAGGGGTCCTGGCACCCCAAAATCATGATACCTGGGTCCTGCCCGGAAGAATTCGACCCAAGCCTTCTTGCAGCCAAAAACAAAGTTTATTGAAGATTCACCATATTAGCTAGACTCTTAAGGAGTCTGAGTATCTATGGGCTATTGGCTAGATTGTAAAAATCTGAGCATCTTAATGGAGACAAGATGGACCTTATATACAGAAAGACTGTGGGGGAGTGGCCAAGTAGTCTGTGAGGTAATAGAATTCCCAAGGGTGGGAAATGGAGCCTAGGTGGGACCAAGGGTAGGAAATGGCCTGGGGCCATAGGGAGGCAAGACAATGGAGGGGAGATTGGGTGTAGCCACAGTGAAAGACCAGTTGATGCCAGAGATTTGACCTTGTGGGAAAGTACAGAGTCCATGATGTAATAGATTACCAAGGGCGGAAATGATCTGGGGCCAGAGTTTTTCCTTTCTGGGGCTCAGATTCCAACCCTGTCATTAGCACTTAGCACATTGTAGTTTCTTAGTAAATGTTTATTGATCGAATTTTACATATTTATATCAATTCTTTTTTTTTTTTGGTGAGGCAATTGCTTCAACTTGCCCAGAGTCACAGTGCTACTGAATGTTATGTGTCTATATCAATTCTTAATGTATTTTTGTATGTCAGACCTTTATCATAAATAATCACTGCATAGATTTCCCCCACAATCAACAGATTTAAATTTATCGTCATTAATTTTGTTCTCAAAAATTCTCTTAAATTTTATATATTGAAATGGTCATTTTTGCCTTTTATAATCACTGCTATATAAGAATTCTTCCCCTGAAGAGAAGGGGAGAGGTAGAATGGGGTAAATTATCTCACATAAAAGAGACAGGAAAAAACTTTTACAGTGGAGGGGAAAAAAGGTGGGGGGGGGAGTGAGTGAACCTTACTCTCATCAGAATTGGCTCAAAAAGTCAATAATTTACCCTACAGAAAGTGGGGGGGGA